CGTGAACCTGCTCCAGTCCGGGAGCCCTCAGTCCATTCCAGAGCCTGCTCCAGTCCAGGAGTCCTCAGAGTCCACTCCAAAGTTCACTCCGGAACCCACTCAAGTCTATAAGTTCATTCCAGAGTTCGTGTCAGTCGGTGTATCCACTCTAGAGCTTACTGAAGTTTGAGCTCATTTCAGTCCAGGAGTCCACTACGGAGTCCTAGCTCCTAGTTCCTCCCGTGGTGGAGGTTTCTGTTGTGGAGCCTCTCAATGTGGCGGTGTCCGCTTCAGCTGCCCTCTGGGCGGTGGTAGTCACTCCTAAGCTCTGTCTGCCTTGTCAGGGCCAAGGAGAATGTTGCTGAACTATCTGCCTGCCTGTCTCTGTCATGGAGACCGGTGCTGAACTGCCTGCCTGTTCCGTGACTGTCATCAAGGCAGTCACTAACCTGTCTATGCTCTTCTTTGCAGTCCTACCTGAACTGCTAGGGGGTTCATCGGCCTTGTCCGCTCCGATGAGGTGGTTGTCAGCTCCACCTTTACGGTCTGCCATGCTCCTGGCTCTGCCCTGCTCGCCCACCGGGGTTGTTTGGCTGGAGCCTCGCTGGTCTGCCCCGCCCCGCCCCTGATTTGGATTACAATTTGTTTTGGGATTTTTTTTTTTTACAATAAGTGCTGCATTTGGATCTGCTTGTTTTGGAGCATTCCGTGACAGAACTATCCCTTTAACAAGTTTAATAATTCTTCTGATAGTGTGCATAATTGTATTGAATTTGCACATGTGTGCTTTAGATATTCAAAAAAACTGTACTTGCAGATAATATACATATTAAATAAAATTCATTTTCATGACTGTTTTGTAACACTAAGTGCACTTTTAAAATGTATAATGTAAAAGTTTATTTTAAAGTATCTGTTTTAATAATCGTTTGTTCTTCTTTAAAGAAGTACACTTATTTTGATGTTGAGTAACACACTAATTTTGTAGTTTTTTTTTTTTTTTTTTAGCTACTGTGTAATTCAATCTTATTAATGTCTTAAATTTCAACTTAATTATTACAAAGGTTTAATATATTTAAATGCATCACATGCAAGTATTACAAATAATGCTACAGTATATTTTAGTTCCTTTTCAGTCAGTCACATTCTACGTTACATCAGTCGTGACTGACGAATTGGGATCTCGCCTGAGAGCCCAATCACCTTCGAGTGTTAACTAAACAAGCCAATGACAGCTGGCGTGCGTGTTTCGCCACGCGCACCCCGCCCCGCAGCGCGGGTATAAAAGGAGTGCGCGTGCAAACGCACATCAGCTTTTCGCTTCGGAGCCGAGCCTTCTACAGGACGAATCTCCGCGAGTGTTCGAGAGAAACCGCTGCCGTTGGTGTGACGGCGTATCAGCGGGGCTTGCCATCCAGGCTGCTCAAACCTCGGCGGGCTGCAGCTTCCATTCTGCGGTCTCGCCGCAACCTCCCCTGGACCCGGTCATGAAGCCCCATTCAGCGCTCTCTCTAAAAGAGTGTTTCCTTCTAAAAGCAAATTCTAAAAGAGCT